ATTCCTTTATGGTATTCGTGTGTTTTGCACTGCTTGTGGTTTGATTATTTTGTTACATTGTGTATCATTTTGCATTCTGTCCCTGAACTACACTGGTTTGATTCCTTGCAACGGGATACGTAGGCAACCCTCGGGTTCAACTAACTGCATCTGCATTTTGTTTGTTTGCCCAAGTCTTACGGCCTTGTCAAAAGAAGTTGTCTTCAGGCTTTGACATTCACTCATGTCATTCCATGACTTCAAGCTCTGTCAAAGAGGAGCAACTGTCGACACCCTATTTTTGATCGTCCTTAAGACTTGGGCGCCTCAGGTTGATCACTCGATGATGAAAAGTTACGCTGTACAACCGCTCAATGTCTTCAGCAAAAAGTTTCAGTTTTGAGCTTCTAATCCCAACCTTACACCCATTTTGACCAAAAACTATTTTAGAACTTAAAACCCTCTTTTTCAAAATATTTTTTCAAATGTTTTTACGATGTTCCGAGGCTTGTATTTCGTTTAAAATATTACACTTTTCGGTAACCAAATATTGCAACTTTCGGTAAACTGAGTAAGGACAAAGTGGAAGGGAGGTGAACTCTTTGAAATTTTTTTAGAAACATCTTATTTATAGGTTTGGAGTTGAAGGAAATAGGAGGGGTTGGAAGAAAACTAGTTGAGGGAAAGGTTGGGCATCAAATTGTTAAGAAATAAATGAGCATCCTTCACTAAATTAGGCATATCTCTTTGTACACTTATAATTTAGATGTCAGGCCATCACCATTGGAAAGTACACTTCCGGGCTTCAATTGAGACTCAAAAATCACTTGAAAGTGAGTCCAGATGAAGGAGATATGCCTATTTGAAATTGGGCTTGATAATAATTTTTTGTGGCCGGCCAGCCACTTTTTGTAGCCGGCCGGCCATGTGTCCCGGTAGGCAGATATTTACTGCTAACTGTCCCCCCTCCCCATGTGCATGCCTTGCACCAGCTATCTCTATATAGATATTTCCGACCTGAGAGACTGTTTTTCTATAAATTCAAAACCAACCCTCTTGATTTTAGGTTAGGAAAAATTCCGAAGAGCTCAAAGCTTGCGAAACACTCTTCCTATCTATCTTGCAATATACATACACTCTACATACATTTCCTAAACCAAAAATTTGAGGCTTCTTGCTGAGGTTCTTAAGCTAAAATTTCAGCCCTTAAGAGTGAAAGCTTGTTGGTTTGTGAATCAAAGAGCAACATATCTTCAAGAGGTATAAGTTTGGCCATCTTTACCCTACTTCTTCCTCTCTTTTCTTGTTGTTTTTATACTGTTTTTGAACTGTTTTGTGGGATGAAACTTCTGAGTTAAAGTTACCAAAGGTGGAGGGGTTAACCACCTTTCTTTGAACCTTATTCCATAAGCTTTTCTGCTAGTGTTTCCCACTTGTTTCTCAATTTTTGGTCACTGATTTTCAGAGTTTTACAAGGCTAAAACATGTGGTTTTGAGGTCCAAAAAGTGGAGGGGTTAGCCACCCGTCCTTAGGCTTGCTTACTAGCTTTAATTCTCTTCAATTTTGGCTTACTTTTCTAACTTCTCCAAACCATTTTCAACCCTATTTTTGTTGTTTTAGGACTCTTTTAGTGTGTTTACTTCATTTATGCTGTGAATATTATGCTTGCATTGTTGTAAGTCCTCATAGGTTTGGTGGTTTAGGCCTTAGGCCTTAGACACCAACTTATTTGAGTTCATAGCTATTATTTCCTAGCTTTTCATACATATACTCACACTTGGTACTGATAATTTTTTCGACCTCCCTCATTTCTTGGTTTTTCTTTTTATTTGTAAGAGTTGTTTCAAACAATAATTGTTTAAGCATGAGAAAGAGACCTTCCATGCTTAATGGTTTAATCTTTTCGGAGGTTCATTATCAGGGCATTACATCTCTCTCATGTCAAAAACAACTTCTTGTTTGACACTTCTCTTCATTAGTGGACATAACTCTCACTTTTGGGACAAAATGATTAAAGAATGGTAAGGTAATAAAAAAAGGCTAATAAAATTGGACTAAAAGTGGTAATGAGATAATAAAATCAAATAGGGTTCAATCGGACGTTAATTCAACCTATTGAGCATTGGATCATTACATACTCCTAGTGATGTTAATGGTTCAAGGAGCAATGTCCACTCCTTTCCTTAATGTGAGTCTATGATAGGAAATGGGTGTTGATGGTCTTTTATTTCATGTCATTGATCTTTTGTCCAATTAGTTCATAGACCATCATGCAATAACATTGTGATAATTGATGATTTGTGGATTGATTCTACTCATCATTGGTCAATTCCATGATAGGGAGAGGTAGAAAGGAGAAACACCACTCGAAAACACTCTATTTGTGGTCTGTTTTCATTCTGTTGCAGCAGGGCAGAGCCCAAAAACAGTCGCTGGTCGACCACTTCATTTTACATAGGCAGTGCCATTTTCATGGCAAAATAGAGCAGAGGTTGGGGTGAAAACAGATTAATTTTCTGACTGCGAGACAGAATAGAAACTGGCAGTAAATAGAGAGTTTCTAGGAGGATATTCTTGTTCGTATGTGTGCGACTCGACGTCTTCCATTCCTTGGTTTAGTCCATAATTAGTACTTTAATAGTAGTGTGTTGTAATTAATTACTTAGAATTATTTGAATTTGTAATAACTAGTTAAGTTAGCTCATTCATTTATTCATTCATTTGGTGCTGTAATAGTTAGTTAATCCGGACACTCATTCGGACCCTTTTCCATGAGGGCAAACTTGTAATATTGTGTATATCTTCCTACCCCTATTTCTTTCTTCCTTCTATTTGTCTGCTTACTGTGGTTGTAGATCATCATGTTTTAATTAGCATCTTCCATGACTTGCATCCAATCGTTTTGCATGCATAAGGGTTCGGTTCATCATACTAATCAATATCAATTTCAAATTCCAATACGTGCTGTATTGTATGTCTTGAATTGACTCACATGCCATGATAGTAGCCGAGCCTATTAATTGCATGTTGTATGTGTTGCATTAGTCACTTGCATAGTGGTGCATGCATTTTTTCTAGCAATTTTCTTTCTTTTGGCTCACCTCAAATATTTGGGGTAAACCTTTTTTGCTTTAGCATATTGCATGCATGCGATTGTTGCCATGTCAAGCATAACTATCACGAGGCTAAGTGCTTGGTTGATATATCTCTTGAGTGCCTGTGGATTAAGACTTTTCGCTTAAATTGGGATAATTTGATTAATGTACATATGAGATTAATTTTTCAAATGGTACATATTCAAAATACTTTTCAAAACAAATATGAAATCAAAGCGTTCCAACTTTTGTGAATTAGTCTATACTTGTGTGTATCACATAGTAAAAATAGCATAATAATCGGAACAAGAGCATATAATGTAAATAAAAATCACATCATGTTTAGTAGAGACTGATCTTTAATTGGGTGAGTGGGGTGCTCAATTTATGACCTTCCCCTCTCATACCTAAGTTTCTGAGTCGAGACACTTTGGTGATGACGGACTAATGGCCTTTGGCACGAGTCACAGGATCCCTAAATTTCCCATAAATATTTATGTGGCAACTCTGAAATCTGGCAATACAGACCATTTTTGGCATCTTTGAGTCAAAATCAATTTTCTAAAATGATTTGTCGAATTTGGACTCTTTTGTATTTATCCGTTTCACATTGCATTTGTGAAATCAGATTCAGAACCACGTGAGTCCGAATTGTAGGGCTATCATATCTGAAGAGACTAAACCCCTTCGAGGAGCATGAAAAGCAAACTACACTGATATATAATTTTTTTTTTCCTGCCACAACATGTAGGTAACCACTCGCCCCCAAAAAAAAAAAAAAAAAAACCAACTAATGAAAGAGATTTGTAAAACGAAATTTAGCCCTCGTTTGGATGAATTAATTTAACTTTATTTTTTTGATTATTTTAATTTGATTAAAAAAAATATATTTAGAGATAAAGTTTAGCTTTTTTATTTTTTTATTTTTTTAGTTGATTGATGGTTGTGAAAGAAAAAGTAAAATAATTATGATTTGAATGTAACATTTTATGTTATTGATTAAATTAGCTTGTTTTTATCTTTATTGACTAGTTGAACTAAAATACTTCATTCCAAACTAAAAACAATTGTTAATGTTTTTTTTTTGGGAACAACAATTGTTAATGTAGTGATTTTAAGGAAAAACTACAGTACGGTGGACAGATAAAAAAAAATTAGAAAAATATGTGATGTGCATGTGATTCTGTGATGAGGTGCAAGTGAAATGTTATGGGGTACAAGTCCATATTTGTGTAAATGTTTTTTTTTCTCACTCGAATGTAATTTCCTTTTTTTTTTTAATGTTGAAAAATATATAAAAGTTCTTAGATATAGAAAATATGTTTTAAAATATATATTAATAGGAGACACTGCTGGAAAACAGACTTTTAGTGGCGTTTAAGAAACGCCGCTATATCTTTCAAAAACGCCGCTAATTCCTTTTGCGACGTTTAGTACCAAACGTCGAAGCTGCGGCCGTCGCTGTATCTTTACGACGTTTTAAAAACGTCGCGATATTAGAATAGGCGGCGTTTCTAAAAACGCCGCGAAATGTCCCTACCATGACGTCACTATGATTTTAGCGACGTTTTCAAAACGCCGTCATATCTTTTTTAAAAAAATTGACCATTAACTTTTTGGAGTTTAGGTGGCGTTTTAAAAACGCCGTGAAATCCTCTCTTTTTTTTGTGAAATTGTGCTAATTTTATGTTATTAAACTAAAAAAATACCTATAATAAAATTGAATAACCTTAATATGAAATAATAGCTCCTATTCAAATAATAAATGCAGCATTATTTCACTTTCCTATTCAATTTAATATCCAATCATCATTACCCACAAAATAACATATTCAAAAATTAAATTCACAATTCTCAACCAAAAAATCAGCAATCCTATGACAGCAAAAATCAACACCAGCCAAAAGTCACACACAGCCTTGTTCTTATCAACTAGACCAACTTGTATTACAAAAGCTTTTGTAAGATAATTTGCTTCCAAAAAATGAAAAAATGGATCATTATCCACATCCATACTAGATCTACCCATCAGGCTCCCTAGCTAAGAAGACACTGTTCACCACCCCATAATTTCCACTTACAAATGGTTGGTGCTCATCATGCCGCCATTCTCCATCAACAAAAAACTTGTACTGCACGGAAATAAAAACAACATGTCTAAACATCAGATACTAGAGATAGAAGTACACTTTTAGGATTGTTGATGTAGATGAACTCATCTCTTTGACTAAACACTGAATTTCATGATCAATTTGTTAATCTTGCACAATATTTCTGTGAATATCATGTCCGTTATATACAATTTTGAAAGAATTAAAATGTATAAAATGCATGCACCATTGTGCAACTATGGGATGCATGTTTACTTTCTTCAACCTGTATAATCTTCATATAACACAACAATATGGTGTCTCATTGAGATTTATATGTATTAGCTGCCTGTGTTATAGCAAACATACAAAGCCTTTTAGCTAATTTATAGTCTTTATTATTTGAAACAACAAATCACCCTCTTTAGCGGACAAATTGTCCATGGATCCATTTTCAGGAACATAAAGTGGCTCCAATTTCTGCTAAGCATGGGGACCCACCAATACTGATATATATTAAGTATAAAACATTTTAAGAAGAAGAAGGTGTACAATCCAAGTTAAAATTCACAAAATAGATCACCAAGCTCTTTCGACAGTGCAAGCTTCTAAGCTTACAGTAGAAAGTAGAAAATGAAGAAGAAAAAGAAGAAATTCAAACAAATCAAATATACCTCAACTTTCCCAAATCTTCTTCCAGACATCTCACATGCTCAGAAGCCTCTTCTTGGGCCTTTTTTGTAGCTTCCTGTAATGAAATATTAACAAATAGGTTAAGAACACCCAAGTAAAATAGAAGTAGACACGACCATCTATTCATAAGGCTTTTTTTTTTCAAATAGGTCTTCCCTACCATCATCTGCAAGAACCAAGGAGTAAGTTGAATTGTTGATGCAAGGAAATAACCAAAAACAAAATAATGCCTATATCCATATAATGCCACCCCCAATCATCAGGAACCCCCAATGAGGGATAGATTTGAGAAAAATAATGTCTTCAGAAAAACAAATGATGATGAAGAAATAAAAATCATGTATTCAGCACGCTGATCCACTTTGCCCATATCCATGTAATAAAACAAGCAATTGAGGAGGTGGAAAAAAAATAATGACTTCAAAAAATAATGTTGTTCCATTAGTCACTATCCCCATAAATATAATTAATATACAGCTTTCACATTGTCCATCCATCTCAAAGAATCTCAGCAAGTACTATCTGACTTCAACTATATTCAGACACATTCTAAAAAAAAAATTCTCAAAGACATGCCATACCACCTAAAATTGAAACTCTTTGTTTCTGAACCAGGTGAAATTTTAGTTCAAAATTTATCCCGAGATTCACATAAAGGTATTTAGTCGTTTTCTTTTAGTTCTTGAAGGTAGTTACACAATCAGAGGTTTTCAGGATAATGCCTTTGCAAATGTTTGTCTGTGCAACAATAACTTCCCACTTTGCTAGGAAAAAGAATATCCCTATTTAGACCACCCTTAATCACACACCCACCATGTCTATATATGCATCCACTCACAGTAGAAAATGGCTATGAATTGAACAAATATCAGCACAATTATCTATGATTGAGAAGAAATCTATACGAAAGCCAACCAAGTTTATGGTTCAATAAAAGTTTAGCAACCACTATACTTCAATAAAGTCCTCAGGACCAAACTCGCCAGAGACCCCATGACAAGAACTCCATAATACATAACGAAGATTCTTGGACGGGTCTAAGGCTATTTATGCATGCATGCACCATTAATGATTGCATCCCGGTGGTGCAATCTGAATTAATACTATCAAGCAGACTAGAAGCATATCTAGTATGAAGCATATTAATGAAGAAACCAAAAGTTTCTACAATGCTCTTGATAGATTATGATAGATTCAAGAAATACATTGCTCTCTCAAATCAATCAAAAAAACTGGCTCACAATTCAAAAAGCTGCTCAAGTTTCCCAAGTTCAGCTGGGATTCCACCAACCAATTGATTGCCATTTAATTGCCTGCAAATTAAAAGCCTCGTCGACTGAATCCAAACAATCACTTAATGTGACCTGTAAACAATAAACTGGCAAGATGCATCTTACAAGTAGCTGAGCTTTGACATATTGCCAAGCTCTGGTGGAATCGGTCCTGTAAGCTTGTTGCCATGGAGATACCTACTCAGACAAATAAATATGTGAGCACAACAAAAAAGGAGGCAACAAAAATTCATCATCTATATATCTCTCGAGTTATTAACTCACAGTTTTCCAGTGTAAGACAAATTGCCAAGAATTGGTGGAATTGGCCCAACTAGTTCGTTCTCACTTAAATCCCTGAAAGACAATAATGAAAAGGACAAGCATAAAACATCTTTTTTTTATCCCAAACATAGTTGTTCCATGGGTCGTTAAATTCAAATATATATTAAGCACACTTACAAAATAGCAAGGGCTTGCATTAGACCTATCACCTCTGGAATTTTCCCTGTCAGCCTATTTCCTTGGAGAGATCTAATAACAAGAACCATAAGCACAGTAATGTCATAATGAAAAATAGAGAAACAACATGAGGGTTAAAGCTTTTAGTTCAAACAATGAACAGAGAAGGAAAAAGAAAAATAGAACTCCATGAATGCCATGTACCACATACATCATGAATAAGCGCCAGCTTAGTCAATAATGCAGCGCCCATTCCGCCACTAATAGAGAATGATTTTGGGCAACCCATATTGATATCTAATGCGGCAACATCTTTGCACCTGAAAGAGCAGTTACCAAGACAAAACTCTAGATTAGAGGTGGCAAAAAATAGGTAGTGGCTATTTTGTATAACCATACATACATCTTAGTCCAAATTCATATCTGACCAAATTGTTAGGTTAGACCCAGTTAGACAACAGATCCATTGGAGGGTATACAAATCTTGAAACCAAACTGAATTGTATTTTGTATAAACATATATAGCATTTTTTGCATTCTCAATTGTATCCTTATCCAATGTTCAAAACAAAATTATATCATTATTCCTATGTTTTGAGAGATTCTTACGTTTTGAGATTCTTATATCATTATTACGTTTCGAGTAAATCTGTTGATAATGGAGCAAGCTCCTAAGATAGCCAGTAAGAACAGCAAGATTGCAGTCCACACGCACACCCTGAAAAATCGAATAATCAAGTATTATTAAACAGCAGATGACAATATATCATAAGCTTAGCACAAAAAATTCAAGCAATAAAACTGCTAACAGACGAAAACCATGCCAATAGTATTATATCATTTAGGAAGACTAGAAGATTAATAGCTCACCATCCAGTCCATGGAAGAAACAGTTTGTGACCCAAATCTGGAGCATTTAATGTAAAATCATATAGCAAATAAAGGCTTGATACATATCATGATTGTAGTACATACCTGAAGCCATTTAACATCCATTCCAAAATATAAAAGAAATTTCATTTAGGTTGAGAATTATTTACAGTTAATTCCCATACTAGTGTTTCTATCTAGTTGTTCCCCAAATGAAATGACTGGGATTGCAGATGCAAAGAATATATATGTGGTAGGAGGCAAAATCCTGAAAACATAACAAGTTATATTAAAATTCACCAAAAAAGAAGAAAATGGGTTACAGAAAAAAGAAAAAAAAAAAGAAAAAGAAGCTTATAAAGATCATTCTTCTTTGATTGTAGTACATACCTGAAGCCAGCTCTGAAGCCACCAGTCCAATCTTGTTTGTAACACAACAACCTGCCCTTAAGATCATTCTTGATCCCGCGAAAAGGCACAAATGTCTCTTCCATAGTGCTCTGCTCTATTATTATTATTATTATTATTAATTAGTTCAATGTTGTACTCTTTCTTTTTTTAACAGGCTCTTCTTGTGGGCGATCATAAATCAATCCTCTTGTAATTGCTTTAAAAAAACCTTAGTGAAAATTGCAAATTATCTGAATAAAGAGCAGTACTAAATAATAGTAAAAACAATGAATATTATTACCTCTCAAGAACATTGGGTTTTGCAAGCTCTTGTTGTATCTTCTTGGTGCCTGCTAAATGATAAGAAATTGAAGGGCACTTGACAGCGGAGGACTGCTCCATTAATAGCCTAGCCTTCCACTCCTATGAAAGGGATGGCGGTTGATAAAGGCAATTTCTGCCAATGTTTTCCGAATAGTTGTAACAGCATGTGTGTTACAAAGTTAAGGTAAAATAAATAAAATAAAATAAAACACTAAAACTATGTGAAGAAAAAACTCTGAAGCTAAAAGTTTCCATCAAGATGGTATATCTGATAAATAAATCGCCGATGATAGTTATGGAAATTATTATTGTTTGACCTATAGTTATAAAAGGAGTTCAATTCTTGGCTTGACTTTTGCCACCGTTATTTGCCTTAGTGGCAGCCTTTCTCTTCCCGACCTTTCTGAAAAGAAGAGATATATATGATCCGTCATTATAATATTCCTGTTACCACTATATCCACCATTAAATATAACGATTATATGCATATAGAACTCATTTGACTCGACCTTGAAACTTCTGGTCAAGATTGTAACATTAAACAGAGTCATTCACATTAATGTAAACACCAAAAACAAAACAAACAAACAAAAAACCCACAAAGATGCAACTACAACCACCAAAATGTTACACAAACTTAGCAAACCTGTCGTCAACTGGCTTCAACGCCTCCTTTGGGACCTTGATTGCTGCCCCCTTACCCTTGGCAGCCTTCATTGTTACAATTGAATGCCTTAAAAAGTAAAACAGTCTTAGATTAGAACTGAAAATCTACACAGTAATTTGTTTTAAGACCAATTTAGATCCCAAAAAAGTTAAACAAGACAAATATTCATGATAAAGTCATACAGGTCAACACAACACACACAAACATAGAGATTAATATTAACCTTAAAAAGATAAAATCAAGCATTTCTTTAAAAAAAAATGAAATAGAAAAACTAACAAACAAACAAACAAAATAAGGAATTGAATCGATCAAAATAATCACAGAGAAACAGAACAGATGAAAAATGAATAATTAAAGTGATTTATTCTAGAAAAATTATTCCAGCAAACTGTTTTTCAGTAACTAAACAGACAGAATCACAGATTTGAAGCTCAAATAACAAACAATCAACAATCAAATTAAACTTCATAAACACAATCATATACATACATACACACATATATATATATGCAATTTGTATAGATCAAAAAGAAAAACAAACCTCTGATCGAAGAAGACGAAGAGTTCCAAATCTGCGGAGATGAATCATGGAGCTGTGCTCAAAATCGAACTTCGAAATCACAATCCTGAGATGAATCACCGACCTGTAGAAGAATCGAAGAAGAATCACTAAGAGAGTGAAGAAGAATTGAGAGCCCTAAGGGCTTAAGACCTATATAGAGCCCTAAACAAAAGTATTCACTAAGAAAAACATTGATCCAAAACAGAGATAAATCACAAACAGAACAACTAACCTCTGATCGAAGATATAAATCACGGAGCTGTGCTCAAAATCAAACTTCGAAATCACAATCCCGAGATGAATCACCGAACTGAAGAAGATTCGAAGATGAATCACTGAGTAAGAGATTGAGAAGAATCGATCCTCTGAGAGAAAGAGATTTGGAGAAACAGATTCGATTCTCTGAGAGAGAGAGAGCAAGAGAGTGAGTGAGACAGGATTCGATCATCTTGACGGCAGTGCTCAAAATAGGGTTTTCAAAATAAAGGTTTGGAGAGACAAAAGAGGGTGGAAAGAGAAACCGGATTTGGAGGCGCTTTTTAAACGTCTTCCATTCACAAAACGGTACCGTTTTAATTTATAACAAATGCGACGTTTAAAAAACGTCGTTAATTATTAGAAAAGGTGACGTTTACTAAAACGCCGTTAATTAAATGCCGTTAAATCCTTAATTTCCTGTAGTGAGAACCGTGCTATGCACAAAAATTTTAAAATAAAAGTTATGAATTTAAATAACACATATTTTATTTATTTTTATTTTTAAAATACATGTCTCAAAGGATTTGTCCCACACGACATTCATCGGTTTGGCAACTTGGTTTTTCTAGTGAGCGAGTTGTTTTTAAGTTTTCTTTATGAGAGAAGAAATAATGTGCTTGGAATGATTTTTTTAGTTGAATAGATTGTTGTGTGGAATTTTTTTTTTAATTTTATTTTTATTCATGTGTATGATATGATATTTTGACTTTTCTTTTATGACATTTTTTTTTGTTATTTTAGCCTAAAAGTTGGCCACCAAATGGCTTTAGTTATATTTTTTTGACTATGAGTTATTTAAAGGGTTTATTATGGGCCGAATATACTTATTCATGTATTAGTCCTGTCACATCAATTGTTTTACCCTTTTTACCCTTGAGTGCGTATTGGTTGTCTCTGTTTGTTGCTCTAAATAGTGTTCTCTCTCTCTCTCTCCTTCCTCTCGACAATTTCACCAATGAAAAATGAGTCAGACTCCCTTTGTGGAGGATCCCCATAACTCCCTTACTGATCTACACCATTCATGATATGTGGGGCCCACTCATGTATGTGTGGGGTTCACATCATGAATGGTGTGGATCACAAAGGGGGTTGTGGGGGTCCTCCACAAAGGGGGTCTCTATCATTGCTGTTTCACCAATTGGCACATACCACTCTTTTCGTCTACACCGCTCTCCTTTACCATCGTTCTTCTCCATTGCCATTAATGGTGCTTGCCTTAACCAACTAGGCCTAGTCTAGTAGTTAGCCACAATAACTTTTCTAAGGGCTTAATCCTAAAGGGAGGTCATGAGTTCAACTCTCATTAGGAGAGTTGAATTAAGAGGGCAAGCACTTGGTGCTTTGCATAGGGTGGAGAGGCTATCTCTCATAAGTGCTAATCTAACAATTAATAATTGACTTTCGCTGATAAAAAAAAAAAAATGATGCTCCCCCTAACCAACATTCTCTTCCGTTGCTGTCAATGGTGCTCTCCTCAACGACTGTCTTTCTCCGTCGACGCCAACATCACTCGTTTCAATCATCATCCTCGTCCTTCTCCATTGCTTACCTCACACCACTATCCTCCTCCCTCATTGCCATCATCCTACTCTTCCATCATCGATCTACTATATTTGACATCGTTACTACCACCATCCCCCTCCTTCATTATGGATCTATTATATGCTATGTCAATCTTCACCAACGACTTTAGATCTAGCCATTTTCAACGCCGATGTAGTATTGTAGCCCTTGTCAACATCGAGATAGAGCCATTACATGATTGTTAGAACTCCTATTAGTGATATTGAGTCTCATCGTGACCTAGATTTGCTATCTATAAAATTGAAGAACCATTGATAAATTTATCATAAATTATTTTATTTGCTTAATTTTCTTACAAACTAAAGTGGGATTTAGTGTCAAAAATAAAAAAATGCAAAGCCAAAGATAACAAATGTATTTAAAAGTATTTCTTTTAAGTAGTTTGAAATCTTCCATGTATTTTTTGTTGTAATTTATTTACAAAGTCAGTCTAATAAATTTGTTAGTGATAAATTTATCATTGAGACAAGAATGTATTGCTTCGCCTAAGTGGTCTCTCTCTCTCTCTCTAAAATCAGATCTACCATTTGTAATTTTCTTTTTTTGTAGAAATTCTTCTGATAAATTTATCACTGATGGAAGGATAGAGAGCATATGGAAAATGCATAATTCTTGCATTAATCTGTGACGGTAAAGACTGAAGAGGACTATTTTCTAGTAAGAATTTTTATTTTCCTACTTATCTTCCTCTCTTTCTCCTATCGCCACCAAATTTGAGAAAATGGTGACACCCTTCTTCTTCACCCTTTCTCTATCACCCAAATATGAGAAAAATTGTCATTGAAAACTATCGCTGGAGGTTGCTGGCAGTCATAGATGGTAGTTGGTGTTGGGATATTTTTTTAAAAATATAATTAAGTATAATTTATATTGTTTTATTATTTTATAAATACAAAACTTATGATATTATTATATCATTATAAGATTTTATGTCAAAACTATTATGATATTAAATATGAGTTTAATTGAAATATAATTGTGTTAATTCTTTATGGTACAATTCTCCTATAAACGCCTATAGTTTTCTAAAGGTAAAATATATAAGGAAAATATGATTTGAGCGATGAAAAGTGCTTTTGTAGACAAGAAAGACATAGCGATTTATATACTCAAGGGAGGATTTCTAAGAGTGTTGTTTATCTATTTTTTATGTATTTTTGGGTAACTTTAATTTGTGGCTTGGTTCAATCCTCCAGGTAGTCATGAATACTAGCTGAGTGACGTTGTGAGCAATTGTGTTTTTATCTCAGAATTGCTCCACTCTGATTGTACCTTTACGAGGGGAAAAAAAAAACAGTGATAACACGACTCTCAGAATCTCACAACTATTTTCTCTACACTTGTTTTGGTCTTCATATATTTTTATGATTTATTGTCATTATTAATATAATATTCATGCTCAATATATTGATAATTGTATTGTTAGACTAACAATCTAAAACTGCTTATCACTCCCAAAATTATGGATAGATCTAGCATAGTGAAATTAGTGTTATTTGGTTTTGTTAAATAGATTGTGTTGTGTTGAATTCTCTAGAAACTACGCCGTGTTTGGTTCCAATTTTTTGAATTCAATTTTCTGAACATTGAATTTTTTTTGTTTTTTGTTTTTTGTATTTTTTTTTATTTTTATTGATTTTTTTTAATATTTTGAGCAATTTTTTTACTTTTTAGATACACTTAATATAAATATAATTAAAAAATATAATATTTGTGAAAAGAATATTTAAAAAATCCACTAAATACCCAAAATATAAAATTTCAGTACATTTTCATATTCTTGTATATTTTTTGATTTTTAAAATATTTTTTTACAAATATTTTACTTTTTAAATACACCTAAAAAGTAAAAAAAAAAAATATGAACATAATTTTAAAAAATCACTAAATATAATTTTTTTTTTTAAATTTTTTTACAAATATTTATTTTTTCTTTGGGGGAAAAGTAGTCTTCTGACTTGTGTGTAATCATTCCTGTTCTATTAGTTAATTAATAGTTTTTGAGATTGTTGTATCTAACATCATCATCGTGTTTATATATATACATCTTGTAGATCTTTATCGTGCAATATTGTTGTTCGGACTTAATTAGCTTCAGTCCTTCACGAAGTGTTTGTTTGAATTGTGTTTGTATAATTCCTGTTTGCTACTTTTATTGTGTACCGTTTGATTCAAATTTGAAAATTGAGAATTATCATATTATGAACTGTAATCATTGCCATATGATCTAATCTGACTTGTGAATGTGTATTGTAATCTTATTGCTTAATTCTTAGTTGTCCTAGAGCATCATTTCTTTACATTGTAATCTAATATCATTCTATCTAAAAATATTTATTGAAATTTCAATATTTCATATTAGCTGTTATAAATCCATTTGACCAGAAATTATTGTGCTACTAAATTGAATGGTTTAATTGTGGTGTGAGTTATTATTTGTATAGTTTTCAGATTCTTGTTGTATGAAAATAAAATCAAGCTATGTGTGATATTTTAAAGGTGAGAAATGTTTGAAATAGTTTTCAATTTTAATATATGTGTGAGCAGAAAAATATTTCTTAGGAAAATTTAAAATTTAACTCAAGTACATAGTTATTATTTAAAGATGAGTTGCATTACTCATTAATAGTAAAATATGAATGGTTGATAGCCTCCACTACAAAAAAATTAAGGTTTTGGGGACTAAAATTTAGAGATAAAATTATTTTTTAGGGACTAAATATTTTTATTGCGAAAAATATTTTTATTATATTTTTAGCAACAAAAATTAGACATTAGTGATGAATTATTATCTATTTAAGACCAAATTTTTTGTCTAAAAAAATAAACTATTTTGAGACCAAATTATTTTGTCCCTAAAAGTCTATTTATTAGTGACATTTTCAAAATTTTGTCGCTAAAGGCCTTATTTTTGACTTTTCGAGATAACCTTTTAGCGACTATCTTCACGATGATAGAAATTGATCCCTAAATGTCTTTTGCAATAAAATTTTTACTTTTAGAGATCAAAATATTTGATTTTTAAAACTCTTATATGTTGTAGTACTTGAAAATGTGAACAGCCAAGTGCTTAAGGTTTTCTTATGGGAAAAAACCCCTTTCTTCTTCTATTTCATGGTTTTGCTAAGCGAAATATTCAAAAGGTTTTCATTGTGGGAGGAATGAAAAAAGTGGAAGGGTGAATTAGACTTTTAATAAATAAAATTAAGATTAGTTCTTTTGAGCAAGGAGAAAATAAGGTGGGATTCACAAAAAAAAAAAACCTCACTTAGGCAATTGCGGATTAGTTCTTTGCCGTTACAAATTTAATTTAGTATTAAAGATTTCGGTTACATTTTTAAATTCTGTTTTATGATCAGCCTTGATTTAGAAATAGTGACTAGGTTAAAAAAATTCAAAATAAACTGATTTAAAAGTAGTGAATAGGTTAAAAAAAATTTCAAAATAAATTAAATATATTATAAAATTAATGAAAAGTACATTGAGTTTTACAACTTTTATGCATCCATGTCCGTTAATAATAGAGTAATGTTAGGGATACTAAATTTTCTACTAAATAAATGATCAAATGTCTCACATGAATGTGGGGTCCATAATTTTGTACTCATGTGAAATATTTGATCAATTTATTTAGTAAAAAAAAATTGAGACCTATAGTATTTTCTTTTATAATATCCATGTGTTAGGTTTGATCTACTTGATGGATTGGTAAAATTTAAATGGCCGATGAATTTTTTTGGTTAGTTTCCATAACAAAATGATTTTTTTTGGGTTAGCCATGGCACCCCAACTAAGCCTTAGTGATGAGCCGGTCCAATCTTGTTTTAAAATTTAA